TATAAAATTCTTGTATTCCGAATACTCCCCACCAAACCTTGGCAGTTTCATATGGGGCAGTTTTTTGCTCTGAGCAGAAGTTGACCCTATCATGGTTGAATTTGCAGGATTGTCTTTAATAACGTGTTGACTAGTGCCTTTGCTCTTAAGCAGTGCCTTTGTAGTTGCACATAGGTCTTCTAGATCAGCTCGAGAAACAAGCTCGGTATTAATGTCATCCAAATCCTGTTGAATATTACACTGTGCGACAAAATTTAACAAAATCTTTGTTTAAGTTACTTTTTTGATTGTTTTCGGTTAAGGTGCATAAGTTATGCACAAAAATATTTATGACACCTTCTAAGTGATAGGATTTCTTTTTTTATGATAAATTTAATGAAATTATTATTATGAAAATATTGAACACAAAATATTATTTTTTTTTTACTTCCAATAAACTATTATTTTTTTTAAAAGTGAAATTTTTTTCTGATTTTTTTGGCTTTTTCAGAGGTATCCTCGCGTAACAAGTTCCATACGTAGTCGCCCAGAGTATAGAGCTGGGAGAAAAAAATTTTAAAGCATTGTGATAAAAGCCTAACGGTATATTTGATTAATACATTTTAATTAATAGATATTGAACTTGCATGAACGCTTATAACAGTGAAAAAATATTTTCCCAATATGGGATTATAAGGCTGTGGAATATGCAAAAACGCGCGTTTTTGGGACATTTGAGTGTGCGTAAAAGCTGATTGGCTATTCATATTAACAAATCCACAAACTTATATTCTTATTTTGATTAGTAGAAGTGAAAAATAAGAAAAAATCAACTTAAACATTTTTTTGTCGCACAGTGTTATAGGCTTTTCCTACATATCTATCAAGTATTTCTAAGCGGCAATCAATTTCAATTGGGTCGACGTACCCTGAGTAATTTTTATACCCTTGCAGAGCAAAGGGTATTATAATTTCAGTCAGAAGTTTGCAACGCAGTGAAGGAGACACCTCAGACCCCATAAAGTATATATATTCTTGATCAGCATCACCATCTGAATCGTAATATGTATGTACGTCTGTCCGTCTGTCCGTCTGTCTGTCTGTCTGTCTGTCTGTCTGTCTGTCTGTCCGTCTGTCCGTCTGTCCTCCTGTCGGTTTCTATGTAAACTAGTCTCTCAGTTTTAAAGCTATCGTTTTGAAACTTTTCCAAAAGTTGTGTAGTCATTGCACGCAGTATATAAGTCGGAACGAGCCGGATCGGCCGACTATATCGGATAGCTCCCATACAAGAGGTCAAAAAAATAAAGGATAAAAAATTATTACGCCGTTGTTTTTGATCAGATCGACTTGATGGCGTTTTCTAACGGTTATTAAATTTCGGATTAAATTTTATCAAAATCGGATAACCCCATCATATAGCTGCCATAGGAAAGATCTAAAAATATATATAGAAATAATGGCAAAATAATCATAACGTTGTTGTTTTTTATTCCACGAGCATGATTTTTTCAACATCGACTTTATGAACTACCCTTGAACCGAGAAAAAAATTTCATCAAAATCGGACGACTATATCATATAGCTGCCATATGAACAATAGTTGAAAATATGGAAAAATAATAGAAAAGTCGTCATAGCTTCGATGTTGTTAGCCTTTAGGTATTTTGTTCGATATGTTTGATGAGTGCAAGGGTATATAAGCTTCGGCTTGCCGAAGCTAGCTTCCTTTCTTGTTAACTGTAGTTTTAATACGCTCAATATCAGCAACAACATTTTTATATTGATCTAGCAATGTATCAACGCGACCCAAAGTGGTTTCCCCTAGCGATTTGTTTTGACCTTTTCCTTTTTTACCCGTCATAATTGTACAACTCTGCTCCAATAGCAGCCAACAATTATACAAACGAAATTAAATGTAAAAAAAAACAAACAAAGAAGGAATTGATGCAACAAGTATAGTCAAATGCTAGTAAGCGATGCACACGCCTTATGCCAATTTATGTATGTGTGTGTGACGAGATGTTAAAATTTAAACTCAAGTGGCCGAATACCACTAAGCAGTACACGGACTATATATGTATGTGTGTATGGCGAGATGTTAGAATTTAAACTAAAGCGGCTGAATACCACTAAGTAACCCAGCGGGAAAAAAGATGTGAAAGATATGCTATTTTCCAGAGGTTTCTTCATACAAGGGGAAGGGCAAAAACCTCCTTCACCCCTTACATTTTTGCCGTCTCTCCTTTCAAAATACACGGGGGTGACACACAAAAGTAAGGGGTGAAGGAGGTTTCTATGTAAAAATCCACAGGTTTCAGAAACCCACCCTTATTTAGCGGACCGAAATTTTCAACTCCTACCCCTACGCCTGCTAAAAGAAGCAGGATTTCCAGTAGTCTTAAAACCGAAAACCTACCTTCTGTCAAAAAAGTACCGGGACTGGGTTAATAACACTCACCTTTTTTTTATTTATTCATCCAAATTTATTTTGTCGCCTTCAAAGTAGTCCCCATTAGAGTCCCCATCTTTCAGTCTTCGAAACATTTTTTATAAGCGTTTTCCGGGATAGCCTTCAACTCCCGTGCCGAATTTTGTTTAATGTCTTCAATGGTGCTAAAACGGGTTCCACGAAGCGGCAACTTGAGTCGAGGAAACAAAAAGAAGTCGCACGGAGCTAAATCTGGCGAATACGGAGCTTGTTCGATGGTATTTATCGAGTTTTTGACCTTGTATTCGTTGACAATGGTAGCTCGATGCGGCGGCGCGTTGGAACAAGCCGTGCAGCGACTCGTTTCATACCCAAACGGTCAGTCAAAATGGTACGAATTGACTCGTGAGAGATGTTCAGGACTTGTGCTATCTCTCGTAAGCTGACATGATGATTTTCAAAAATAAATTCCTTCACTGCATCGATGTTAGTGTCGGTGAGAGAGGTGGATGGTCGTCCTGAACGAGGCATGTCTTCGACAATCTCACGACCCTCTTGGAATGCTTTGTACCACTCAAAAGCACGTGTTCTCGATAAAACTGCATCACCATAAGCCTTCTGCAACATTTTTAACGCGTCAGTACAAGAAATTTTGTTCGCAACACAAAATTTAAGACAAATTCTTTGTTCAATATACAGTCGACTCTCGTTAATTCGAAACTGGAGGGACTCTTGAAATATTTCGAATTATCGAGTGTTTGAAATATCAAATGGTTCGAAATTTGCGAGAGAAAATAAATAAACCTTCGAATTATTAAGTGTTGGTTAATGTTTATTTATTAATATAAAAATGATAAGAATTAAGAGGTACATTCGTGTACGTACATGTATTCGTAATGTGAATTAATTAATCTTTCGAAAGAACTTTGTTATACTGGTTTGCTTTAAAGCACAATTCTGCTGCTAAAACTGCTCAATAACTTTTTTAAAGAGAAAAAGTGCCTGAAATGCTTTTTCATCACTTTCGTTTTGTAGACATAAGCTTTGTAAGGTATCAAATGAGGATCTTGCTTCCTTAACTTACACCTCTGCCAAAGGTTCTTTATACTTTCTAGGGCTCATAGCTAACACTAACTTTTAATATGCAAACCAATTCGTAAGAAGTGTGTGCGTCAAATGGTCAAACTACATAATCAAAACAAAAACAAAGGCAAGTTTGAACTTGTCGCAAAATTTCCGACTTTTTTTCTGCAACTTTGAATTGTCGAGTGTTAGACGCTGATGAGTTCGAATTAACACGTGGTTTTGTTAAATATCAATGATTTTTTCGTTTGAATTACCAAGTGTATGAAAATGTACTGATTTAGTTCGAAATATAAAGAGATTTCGTAGGGACCTCGAGATAACTTTGAATTATAGAGAGGTTCGAATTATCGCAGGTTTGAATTAATGAGAGTCGACTGTAGTTGTTCATTATAAAATTCGGCAAGCAATCAGAACATAGACTGACGTAACCAGCGACTGTAAACAAACTACTTCACAGATCGCGATCAAACTTTACTTAGTAATGCAGAACAGTGTTACCAACATAACAAAAAAAAAATTTTCGAAATCGGTTTAGCACAGGCGTTTTAATTAATCCAGTCCCGGTACTTTTTTGACAGAAGGTACTTCTAAAAACCTACTTCTCACTTTCCCGCTGGGAATACGCGCAATATGTATGTATGTATGTGTGTCGAGATGCCCAGCGGGAAAGTGGGAAGTAGGTTTTTAGAGTACTGGAAAACCTACTTCTTTTGGCAGGCGTAGGGGTAGGGATAGATGAAAACCTACTTCTTTTAGCAGGCGTAGGTGAGGGATAGAAAATTTCGGACCGCTAAGTGGGGTGGGTTTCTGAATAACATCAATATCAGGCCACTTATTATTTTTTTGTTTAACAAAAAATCAGGAACTTTTAATATTCCAGAATTATATGACTTACACCAAAACCAAAAATTCTCGTTGTCACATTTATATTTATTTGTTAGTAGTTTATTAAAAAACGTAAAAAATATATTAATATTTTCATCTAATAAATTAATTTAATTTAAATTAAATGATTATAACCATAATAATTATTAATGACTTACATTTATTTTACTCAAAAACAAAACCTACATAGCAGTGCCACACGGCTTTTGAATAAGATTTCAAAGCTACAACCAATATTTTCTAAAATATTTAATAAATAATACAAATAATAATGAGAATGATTATGGGATTAAATTTTTTTTATTAAATAATAAAATATTTTGATCTGACGATCGCGGCCTAAGATATTTTAAAGCATTGTTAAAAAATAAAAGTTCGTGTTGGTAGTATGGATAACACTTAACATGATATCGAATTGGCGAAAAATATACCTATAATATACGTAACCTTTAATAATTACGGCCCCTGAAAAATATTATTTAAACGAAATATTTATTCGCGGGCAAAGTATGACCTTAAGTTACAACGAAGTTATGACTAATTATTGTCTTTCGTCGGAATGGTTGCATTTTGAAATATATGATGCACGGTCACATTATAAGAAAAAATTTCATAAAAAGTGCAAGTGCAAGTAAAATTTCAAGTAAATTAAAAAAAAAACAAGACAAAGGTAAGTGATATCATAAATATTTTTTGTATATCTTCATTTAAGCGTCAGGAATATTGTGAACATTGGTATTTTTTGCTAAAACTAAATAATAGCCGCCAGTGGCGTTTGTCAAATTGTGTTTTGTGTTTTTTGTTATTTGTGCGCTGTTTTATAATTGCAATTTCTTTCGGCTTTTAATAAATTGTTGTTAAAATCTTTGCAGTACTGCAGTTTGTACGTGGTTGTTAATAAAAATATGAGTTTAGACAATTTATTTGTGCCGGTCCGGTTGAAACTTTTTGGCACCTGTTGCAGTCTCCAAGTTGTTTTTATTTTTTACCGCTTATTACAGTCGTGGCCGTAAGTATTTTGACAAAATAAAAGTGAAATATACTCGAAACTTGAACTTGCTTCCTTTAACTTTTGGTATTTGAATTACCTTTCCATTGATACCAAAAGTTAAAGGAAGCAAGTTCAAGTTTCGAGTATATTTCACTATTATTTTGTCAAAATACTTATGGCCACCACTGTATTTTTGTTGCTTTTCGGTTTGTTAGTACAAGGCTGAGTGTATTAAAGGAACTAAAACGGCAGAGTCATCTAATGGCAAGCAAACATATTTAAACTCTATTTCTGATATTGGGTAGTGTTCTATCTCACTACTTAATTGATTTACTTTCACTTGTTCTATGATTTTGGCCCGCTTCCAGTCACTTAAAGCCTTGAGTCAACCTGTGCGCTGATCACTTTTCAAGGATTAGGCGCCCTTAAAACGCTGCACGATGCTTGTAATGGTTTAGTGGCTTCTGTCTATCATTTCTCCGATCTCACCATATAATTTTCCAAGATTGTGGAAATTCCAAATAATTTTCCGGTCCGTTAATGTAGAGTTTTTATGTTTACCCCTTATTTTATGAAAAAAAGGTTAAAAAAAAAAGACAATTTGATACTTTCAGCTGGAAAAAGTTATACCATACCACTCAGGGGATAATAATAAATGTGTTAAAAAAAAAAAAAACGGGCCAAATCGGTAAAATTGTGCCAAAATTTCAAATTAAAAAGCAAGTGTGCCAATAATTTTGTTCAGGAAGATTCGGCACTTGTTTTCGTTATTTTAATTTTAAAAATTAACTATAAGATGTAAAATATTAAAATAAGCTGGGTTGTGTTGTTAATTAATTATATTATGTAAATAAATTTTGTTTTATGTAAATATCCCCATTTTAAGAGGAGAAACTGAGCCTCAAAGTTGAACAAGCCAACTATGCCAATAATTATGTTCGTCACTGTATATTTGTAAATGTTTTCACAAAATGATCTATTAAGTCCCTGGCAACGTTTAAGTTATTTAAATATTTTTCTGCGACTAACATTCTATAAGCACAACAAAATAATAAAAAGTGATAGTAGCAGTCATCAGAAACAATATTCTTTAAAACTGCAACTCCTGTGTATAAAATAAATTGTCTAAACTCAATTGCTTTCCATCTGAGAAACTCTTCAAGAGACCCAGGCTTTCTTCCAAATTCGGCGGGTACAAATTTCTTTAATTTTTTTAACCTTTTTGATATTAATTCTAAATGTTCTTTCGATAATTTAAAACCTACGGTTTTTTTATCAATAATAAATGTTAGCATTTTCTTGCAATCCTTTAATCATGTCAAAATCTAGTCTTTCCAGAATAAGAGGAATCTTTTTAAAAAAAGGTAAGTGATGATCGGAATAAACTCTATTTCTGAAATCATTATTAGACATAATAGTTCCCACACTGTCAGAATATGTTGTTACACTATTTAATCTTTTCCCTAATTGTGTACATTTCATACAGCCATTAAATGCATTTGTTCCTACCACCCCACACATAAATGCTCGCGCTGGAGCATCACAAATAAACGAATTTAACTTGATTTTAATCTTATTTGTTCCAATAATAAGGGGTGTTCCAGTTAAATCCAATAATTCTTCTACAAAGTCATGTAAATAGTGATTAACATTATCCGGCTTGGAATTGCATACGTAGGACCCTATCATAAAAACTTCAGAGCTTGGAAGATTTTTAAAGAATCCTAAGATTGGCCAAACATTAGTTTTGGAACTCTTGTAAAGTGGAAGCCCGTCAACATTTATATCTAAAACTAATTCCTGTCCGATTTCTAAATAATTTTCTATAGCTTCTAGATAACTCCTAATCCCTATATGATTATATTGACCTGGTGCTACACTTCGAATTGTAACCGGAACTGAAATTCTAGTTTTCAAAAGTCCCTTTTCTGAAATTGGGACATCTATGTTTTCTGACTTTAATATTTTCAATAACTCTTCAAGTTGACTCCTATTAACATTATTTTGTCTATACCAATTTGCTAATTTTGTGTGAAGGGAGGGTGTACTATCAAACTCTTGGTATTCTGAATAACTAACATTTTCTGGAAATCCTATATTTTCACTAAAAGTTTCTTGCTGAATTATATTGGTAGTATTGATTGTTGTGTCCTGATGCCTGCCTGTAGCCTTCAATGTTTCTGCATGAATTTTTTTAGCCCTACGGTATATACTTGACCGAGATGTACCACTCATTTTAATACTTATTTCTTGAAAACACTAACAAAAATATTTTGCACTGTTAAAATTGTACGTCCGCACTTGTCGCTTGATAAAAATCAACTAACTTGCCTATAGGATATAATTTGCATTTATAGGACTTTTGTTTGCAGGTAAGAGGCCTACTTGTAACCAAAGGGTTAAATATTTAGTTATTTTGCATTCCTTTTTACCTGTCAGGTAGATTTGTAGTAAGTTAGGTAAGTCATTTATTATCATAAATAATTTGATGCTTTTTTTTTTTGCAGATAAGCTTATTTAAAACCATGCTCGGAGCGGAATGCGTTGTTGCAGGACTAAATGAACTACTCTGGGAAGAGACAGGTCGGGTTAATAAAATATAAAAATTTCATCAATGCTTTATATGGTAATTATACTTATTTTCCTAAAGTTTTCTAAATTCCCATTACTGTTTATATATTTATTATTTGTATTAATATGCAAAGTATTAATATATTATGGTTTCCAGAGTCACTTCGAAACGATCACTATTCATTTCGCCAATTCCAAGATGACCTGCGTTCGTCATTTCTAAAAGCGAAGAACAAAATATACAAACATGCATATGAGAAAAAAAAGGAAAACCAATTTTCAGGACTAATAAAAATTTAGTCCTGAAAATTGGTTTTCCTTTTTTTCTCATATGCATTTTTAAATGTTTTTTTATATGTTGTTTAAGAGTTTCGTTTAAATGCTTTCATCATGTATTATGTATTCGTTACATCATATCATACCTATGCTGCTAAAAGCATAATCGCTTTAAAAAATTAAATAAATAAATAAATATATAAATAAATAAATAGATGATATGAAAAAGGTATTGTTTTTGTAAATTAGGGAGGGTAATTTAGAGAGGTAAAACCAGTGGATTTTTGCCTGCATTCAGCAGCAATTTCCACTGGATTTTGTCCTGCATTCAGCAGCAATTTCCACTGGATTTTGTCCTGCATTTAGCAGCTGTAGGTCCAGTGGATTTCGTCCTGCATTCAGCAGCTGTAGGTCCACAGGATTTTGCCCTGCATTCAGCAGCTGTAGGTCCATAGGATTTTGCCCTGCATTCAGGAGCTGTAGGTCCACTGGATTTTTCCCTTTACCCCTTCATTTTTGTGTCACCCCCGTGTATTTTGAAAGGAGAGACGGCAAAAATGTAAGGGGTAAAGGAGGTTTTCCTAGTTCCGCTTGTATGAAGAAAGCACAGGAAAATAGTATATTTTCCACACCTTTGTTCCCGCTGGGTGTTTAAATTTAACCGAAAGTGGCCGAATACCACTAAGTAATACGCGCACTATATATATACAGTAGAATCCTGTTATAACGACTCCGCTTATTGTGTCCGTCCGGTTTTTGCGACGAAAACTCCATGGCTTGATTGGTCCCTATACAGACTTATACACTTAAATCTCTCTGCTTAGTGCGTCTTCCGGGTATAACGACGAAAAATCGTCGGTCCCTTGAAAGTCGCTATAAGCGGATTCTACTGTATGTGTATGTGTCGAGCTGTTAAAATTCAAACAAAAGTGGCCGAATACCACTAAGCAGTACACGCACTATACATATATGTATGTATATGTCGAGATGTTTAAATTTAATTAAAAGTGGCCGAATACCACTAAGTAATACGCGCACTATATATATATATATGTGTATGTGTTGAGCTGTTAAAATTCAAACAAAAGTGGCCGAATACCACTAAGCAATTCGCGCAATATATATATACATATATGTACATACATATGTGTGTACATGAGATGAGCATTCAAATTCACTGCCCAAGCAGCGATAGAAGTAACACAAATCAAACCAAAGTTCACTGCCCAAGCAGCAATAAACGGGAACAAAGCAAAGACAATCGGAGTCAATGCACCAACAAACGAAAGTTCGCTGCCGACGCAGCGCAAGTGACGAAAGAGAGAACTGAAGAAAATTGTACAGCAAATTTTGACAACTGTACCGACAACGATGCGCAATTTTCTATTAGCAAAATCCAACGGGACCTCTTTTTGTCTTTTACTGGTTTCCACGGAAGTAAGGCACAAGAAAACACCAAAAATTTGCGCGCTCAACAGCGGCTTGTGCAAATCAATTAGGGTGATCCGAATAAGTTACCACACAAAAATTATATTTTAATATTTTAATATTTGTATATTGCCAAATTTATGTTTGTATTTTATATGCCGGAAATTTTGAGTTTCGAATAATATAAGTTTTTTACACCGAGTGATAAGTGAACTACGGTCCACTCTATGCTTTAGTGCATGTACATATGTATGTGTGTATGCGCGTAGGCTAGAACAACTTTTTATTTTTGCCGCACAATATTTATCACCAAATTTATTTATTAAATAATCACACACTATATGCCTCGTAGTTCACTTTTACTCGTTACCTGTGTACTCCTAGCCAATGTAAAATCCATATGTAATTTCCAAACGTCAACTTCCCAAAAAGATCCAAGTCAAAGTCCAATAAGAGTTCCGAAGTCCAACCAAGTCCCAACGAAAACACCTCGCAAAATTGTCCACCCGGGGGCGCCAAAAAATGTAGATCCAAAAGTGGGTCTACTGCTAACGTGGCCCTGTGCCACAAGAAACTCCGATGCAACAAGATCAATAAAATTATTGAAGGCCAACTTGCGTAAGCGGACGGGACAGTCAGTGTAATTATAAATGCGTGTGCTTCGTTTCAGTTCTTTTCTCAAGTGATCGTTATAATTTCCAATATTTGTTCTTAAGCTAAGCGCTGGCATAATTGCGCGTGTATATGTAAGCATGCAAATCAAAGATAACAATAGATAATTGGAGAATGAGCGAATTTCAATATGCAAATGAGCGACTATTAAAGAGCGTAATGTTAGCTTAAGAGTAGTACTTCAATTCGAGCGTAACATAAGAGTATTGGTTTAACTATAATTACATATAAATATATATCTAATTAGTAGGACTTCTTGAAATGACTTAACAGATACTTTTAATTTATATATAAAACTGTATTCTTGGTATCCAATGTCCCCAACCGTACATAAAATATTGGTACATGGACACAAAATTATGAACCAATTTATTGTTCCAGTTAGTGTCATTGGAGAAAACGCATCTGAAGCGCTAAACAAATTGTACAAGAGCGATCGAAAGTCTCATTCCAGAAAATGCAGCCGATTAGCAAACATTGAAGACGTCTTTCATCGAGCACTGGACTCTTCCGACCCATTTCTCTCTACAATTTGTTTAAAAGAAAGGGAAAAAAATCCAAAAAGGTCCTTCCAAAAGAAGTCATTGATCTACTCGACGTTCCTGATCCAGAACTATACAAGACCGGAAAGCCGGATGGAGAAACAGACGAAGAAGATTTGTTTTGTTTAGATAATATTATTTTGGATACAGAAATTGAAAATGAAAATTAGTTTAATCCATACTAATATTATAAATGCGAAAATGTTTCTGTCTGTCTGTTACTCTTTCACGCCTAAACGGCTGAACGGATTTTGATGAAATTTGGTATGGTGATAGATGATAACCTAGAAATGATAATAGGCTATAAATAATCACGCCATCGTTCTTAGGTGGTAGGTAGCAGGTGGCGAAACGGAACAATCACGCAATCCTTCTAATGGGGTAGGCAGTAGGCATTAGGTTTTAAGTAAAAAGGTTTATCAAAGTTTTTATAAAAAATTGTCTTACGTTGTAGTTTTTAAAACTCCCCTTTTTTAAAATCTTTAATTATTGCTTTCGATATGCCACGCAAACGTAAATCCAATATCAGCAGTAGTTCTAGCAGAGCTCGAGCTGCAAAAGATTCTCAGCGTCATGCGACTCAAAGAGCTTCTGAGACCTATGCGCAGACTCGGGCCAGTCAGACCCTGGATGCTGAACGCCACGCATCTCAAAGAGCTGCTGAGACAGTGGAACAGACTCAGACACGTCGAGTTTTAGATGCTGAACGTCACGCGCAATTGATTGCGGCAGAGTCTTACGAAGATTCACAAAGACGACGTCTTTTAAATGCTGAACGAAAGGCAGAAAGAACACGTACATTTTCAATGAGAACGTGGGAGACATTTAATGGTGCCTCTTTTGAGTATGACCCTTTGGTCGACTATGTTAATCACCGATTGGTTATCTTTGGGAGAATGGATAAAAAATGCAGATATTGTGAAGCACTGAAATGGAAAGAAGAAACTCCAGGTATGTGCTGTTTTGGTGGAAAGGTTAAAAAAAAACCTGGGCGAAGCTGGGACGGGCAGCTAGTAATATAATATATGTAATGATAAAAATAAATTTTGCAAGTGTATTATGGTTTTCATTTGTGTTGATTTTGGGGTTGTATATAAAACGACTTCACTATTTTTACTAATAAATACGACATATGAGTAATTTTGTTTATATCGGTTGTATGGGGGGGGGGGAAGGCGTAGTCAGAATAACACAAAATTTTTTTCGAAATTCTATTTTATCCTCCCTGATATTCGTGCAAATTTTCAGAATCTTACGTTCATTTTTAGAGTTTATGCCAAAAATTTGGGCCTTTGGACCATAGTGCGTTGAAGCGACTTCAAAATAAGGCATTAAGAATAGTCTCGGGCGCTCATCCTTCGGAGTATGGAGTATGGAGTACTGCATCGTACTCAAATCGTAGAAGCACACAGCGGCTTCAAAACAAGGCAAAAAAAATGGTCTCGGGCGCTCACACACAACCGAGGTCATCCACGATGCGCTTGCAGAATCCTGGGTAAAGGATTAAATCAAAAAGGCTAGCAAAAGACACTACAAAAAGTTAGTACAACGTCTCAGCGTTAAACCTATACGTGAGCGCAATACGTAGAAGACTCGGGTGAACACACCGCAAGGATTTAACGAACGAATAAAATTCCTGCCATAACCTAACAAAATACCCAACCCAAAATAACTCCCACCCAGTAAACTTTATAAAGTTTCCTCGTGAATGTAACTCAAGAACACAATTTAAATATTGCCCTAACTGGGACAGATTTTAAATATTTAAAAATTAAGACAAAACAAATAATATAATATAATAGTTTTTGAACCCCCTTTCTAGAAATCGGGTGATTTCAATACTAGTTGAGGGCACTCCAAAACAACAACAACGACACCGTTATTGATAAGCCCGAGCTTACCTTGTGAAGCGCGCAAACTGTAAATCCGGGCACTCCATCATGATGTCCACCCCGATCACCCAAATTCCCCTCTCTCCGCCCATGAAAAAGGCCCACGCCAGTTTGAATGGATCCTCTAGCGACGAATCCAGCTCGTCTATTGAGTCTAACGAGATCAGGCGTAAAGCTGTTAAAAATGGTTCTCAGAACGTCCAACCCAATACCAGTCCGGCAACTCGAACTAGGGGTGACTTGCCTGAAAGGTAGAAGAACAATGCTTTTGCTTATCTCTCCGGGGATGACAGCGATGAGGAGAGTGAAAGTGAAGATGAGACGATGGAGGAAAAGACCCAACCCGATTCCCCCAACAAACTACCGGAAACGAAGCAGCCAAGGACCATTAAGCCTCCGCCTATTTTCATATCCGACGTAAATAACATCAAGGGACTTATTGAGTCAGTAACCAAGAT